CATAGTTATAAGATCTCCCTGATATTATCAATCTCGTAAGTGAAGAAGTTCATAAAGTCATTACTGCTGTGCTGCTTGAAAACGTCTCGGGTTAAAGCTTTCTTTTTCGTTAGTTTAGCCACTGTTTCAAATAAATACCTCGGGTCTTGTTTATTTTCTTCTAATAGGATTGAATAATAAGCAGATCTGGCAGCTTTCAAAGCCTCTTTATGCAGTCGAGCTCTCCTTCCATGAAATGCGAAATACCTCTAGTTTAGCTTTCTAGCAGTTTCTTGACACACACACGTCACGACACACACACGTCAGCTGCACACAACACACACATCACGACACACACACACACACACACACGTCAGCTGCACACGACACACATCACGACACACACACACACACACACACGTCAGCTGCACACGCTGTTCTCAGTGTTTGAGGGTCAGCATCACACACACCGTCTTCACATCAGTTTGTTTTCATAAAATTCTTAAATCTTTTTTACACTGTGATTTTGCCTCTAAATTTTGGGTGAATGTTTTTAATGGGCTTTATGCACAGCTGCACTACTTCCTGAACTTAAGCCAGCTCCCTTGTTTCCTGTCTGCCATTATTGGCCAAATTGATTAGTTCAGGTGGGGCTGACCTCAGTAGTCACGGCAACAATAATCAGACGCACCTGAATTAATCAAGCTTGGCCAATAATGGCAGACAGGAAACAAAGGAGCTGGCTGAAGTTCAGGAAGTAGTGCAGCTGGGCATAAAGCCCATTGGCTTTCAGTAAAAAAAGTATATATAGACCATTTCACAAGATGTAAACAACACAGGTCCAGAAGCACTTCCTGTTTCAGTTTTTTAACACTACATAAAAGCTGGGATAAAATACAACCAACAGAACATTTAAAACTGAATCAAAAATTTAAACAAACATCTTTAAGATGTTTTCTTTACATGTGAAATAAAGAAAACGGTTACAAACTGAAACAGGAAGTGCTTCTGGGCCAGTGTTGTTTACATCTTTTGAAATGGTCTATATATATATATATATATATATATATGTAGAGAGAGAGAGAGAGAGAGAGTACATACATATTTGTCTCTTAGTTTTGCATCCTGTAGAAACTCAAACACATTTCACTGCACAGCTTTCTGTGCTAATATACGTTTATATTTCAGAGATGTCTTGTATTATTCACAAATGTCTTAAATATTTACTTGTCTTTTTACTTTGTTAAAGAGAGGATGTTCGTCACTAACCCGTTATGTACTGGGATCATAAAGCCTTCCTCAGACGTTGGTGATTGGACAGGATTAGTCTGGAGTCTCGAGGCAGATCACGACAGGTTTAATAATTCACACTTGCGTGTTTTAGTTTGCGTCCAGTGTTTGGAAATGAACCTGATGAAGATCATGATGTTCGGCTCAACTTAAACCCCAGACAACAACAGATTAAATGTTGCAGAGTGAAAACAAAGTGAGCATTAATTTCATTGTGAGATTTGTTCTTTTGTTTTCATGAATTAAACATGTCTGTCCATCCATCCAGTTCACTTAAGAAACGATGAATATAATAAAGAATGATTCTCAGCATGAGACAAGTATTCGTACTTCAGTGAACTCTTTGTTTCTGCATTAAATTATTACATTGTTTAAATGAATACATTTTTAGCTTACTTTCTATATGTACATTTCTGAACTGCATAAGCGAGACGTCTCCTCTGATGTCAGATCTCTGTAATGTGGACTCGAGCACTTCTGTAGAGCTGCTTTGAAATGATGTTCAGTGTGAGCCGTGGCTGAGTCCGTGTCCTCCAGCACGTGTGTGTGTGTGTGTGTGTGTGTGTGTCTCCTCATGCTAGTGTGATACGGGTGGTTTAACGGTGATGTGTTTCAGCAGAAACGAGTCCTCTAGAGAACGGTCTTCTGGAAACGGTAACGCACGCTTGGTTCAGTCGAGTCTCCTCTATTACAACGACACACAGCGTTTCACCGCAGCTTCACTTCCAGAAGAGAACAGCGTCATAGTCCGACTCAAGTCAGTTCAGTGATGGTTCGTTTCTGTTGTAAAAAAGTTATTAATTTAGTTTTGGAGAAATTTAGATTTTGGAGAAAAGCGTGATGTCATCGTCAGCTCAGTTCAGTCCTCATATGATGCTGTCAGTGCAGAAGATCAATTATATTGTTGAATATTAAATTAAATGTCCTCAACTAAGCAAGACAAAGGTGAAAAAGGTGAGGGTTAGCCAGTGTTAGTCAGTGTTAGTCAGGGTTAGTCAGGGTTAGTCAGTGTTAGTCAGTGTTAGTCAGGGTTAGTCAGGGTCAGTCAGGGTTAGTCAGTGTTAGTCAGGGTTAGTCAGGGTTAGGCAGTGTTAATCAACACTGATCTGTCATATCACTTGAGGATAATGTACACACACTTTGATTCTGTGGGAATAGTTTGGGCTGCAGAGATGACGCTGCGTAAATGAGATGTGTTGGTTTGTCTCATTATGACCTCATAAGCAGCTTATTGGCCAGCTAATTAACCGAGATCTGGAGTGTAGCCGTCCATCTGTCGACTGAGGTGAGCTAACGAGAGGTCATCCCTGACCGCACGATCTGCTCTCCTGACCCCGATGCGCTGCGATTAGGGACAGAACCACCGAGAGTCCTCCGTAATCTTCACTCTTTGTGGACACAAAGTGGGTCAAACAGTGTGCGGTTCAGCCGAGGGGATCCATCAATGTTTATCCGACAAGAAGTAAACTACACATAAACTACGATAGAAACACATTTACTGTATAAATCCCTCAACTAACTCATGTGACTTTGGCTCAGCGTCAGCTGTGATTGGATAACTGGAGTAACCGGTGGACCAATGGCGTCGCACATCTCTAATGTTGGTTTGGTGTTTCTGAAAGTCGGAGTGTGTGATCAGAGTGAGTCGGTTTATTCCCTCACACACACGAGTGTGTTCCCGAACGCCAGAGAACACGGCAGCGTTTACTGTGTTTCGCCTGACGTGATGCGGTGTATCTAATGTGTGTGTGTGTGTGTGTGTGTGTGTGTTCTGCAGGGCTCGTGATGCAGTTTTATTACTGATATTTTGTGCCAGTGATGATTTTGTTCTCTTGAACGCATGGGATGGAGATGCTGCTTTATTTATGTTTTATGTCATATTCCAATTTTGTGTGCAAGTTAAATTTGGATGTAAACATAAGTAGTGATATTAAAAACAACCACATTCATGATTTACATATTTTTTTATTCACTTCCTTTCCTGACAGACATTTACATTACAGTGCATTTTCACTAAGTTTACCGTTGTTTCCTTCAACCCTAAAACACAAGTAAAGCTCAAACTGTGAAAAATCAATGACGTTTTTCAGACTTAAATTTTTATTTATTTATTTATTATTTGAATTATAAAAGTAATGTGGTCCTGGGCCGATACTGAAGCCCTGATGTCTGGATTGATCAGAGAGGAATAAAGATGATCGTTTAATCCGAGACAATAGCGGCGCAGAGCTAATCTCCTGTTCTTGCTGTTCTCTTTAAGCTCTTAAGCTGCAGATGCAGGAGAAGCTTCAGCGCAAACGCGGAGAGAAATAAAGGCGTTTTTCACTTCTAAAGCTCTTCGTGTGTGTGTGTGTGTGTGTGTGTGCGTGTTGGAGTTTTTAGGGACAGGGAAGCGGAGTAAATGGACCATCACACACGATCACGAATCATTCACAATCAGCGCTTTCATGACCGGCCTGAGTGATAAAAGACGGCGTCTGGAACATTATTGGGCCGAATGTTGGTGTTTCGAGGAAAAGAGCTTATTTGTGCGATTACAGTCTCTAAACAAACGTTTCTTGTCCTGAAATGAGTTTAATCGTGTGGATATATGGCTTTCTCCGGTCGCCGTGTTCTGATTGCAAGCGCCGCTAATGTTCACTAATCTCTTAATTCATGTTCCTGATATCGAGTGATCAATCAGTGACGATAATCAAGAGCAGGACTGTGTGTGTGTGTGTGTGTGTGTGTGTGATCTGTTGGAGGTGAGGAGGTTTTTCAAAAATCATGGCACTAGTTTTTTAATAATAATTATAATAATAATTTAGTGCAGGTTTAAAAATGTGTCTGAAACTGCTCCCTATATAGTGCACTACATCGGTGTCTGAACTCTGAGTGAATGACATCACTTCCTACATTCGTTCACTACTTTTACCCACAATCCTCTCTGAATTCAAGGGTACACTCGATGTACACTTGCTGAAGCACTATTTCCCACAATGCAATGCAAGACTACCGAGAGATTGTAACCAGATTACTGTCAGCTTTCTGATTTCTGCTTTAACGTTTACTTCATGCTAGTTTAATGGGGTTTTCCGCGTCTCTTAGCTCCGCCCTCAAACACTGGAGTGTATCTGAGACTGGACGAGTTCGGCTCGTGTTGTTCGTGTTTTCTGAGATCGATACGGTGAAACCCACGCCATCGTTACTGTTCGTATCACTGTGAGAGTGTGTGACCAATCACAGCAGAGCAGCTCTCAGAGAGGCGGGGCTTAGAGAGACTGAATCCTCGATCGAGGCGTTTCAGACGCTGACGCTGCCGATTATAGATTATAGATCATGAGGACATGAGTGTGTGTTTGAGCTTGAATGAATGTGAACCAAACGGCAGCAGGAGACTTTAAAGCAGAACTGGACTTTAAATGGTTTTTCCTCTCCAACTAAATGTGCTTAATGTGTGTTAATGTGTGTGTCTAAAGGCGACGGGCCGCTGTGTCCTGTGATGCGTCTCATGACTAACCATGAGAGGACACGTGTGTGTGTGTGTGTGTGTGTGTGCTGCAGGGCTCTAATTGCCAGTGAGTGATGCTGTGTGTGTGTGTGTGTGTCTCAGTGAAGTGTGTATCTGACGTGTGTGTGTGTGTGTGTGTGCTGCAGGGCTCTGGTCGCCAGCTTGCGATGCTGTTTTTATGTGTGTGTGTGTCAGTGTTTCTCAGTGAAGTGTGTATCTGACGTGTGTGTGTGTTCTGTAGGACTCGTGATGCTGTGTGTTCTTCTGCTGGTTCTGCACTGGACGCTGGTCTCCTCGAGTTCGTCCACTAGTGCTGCCCTGCAGGAGGGTGAGTGAAGTGCAACACACACACACACACACACACACACACACACACACACGAGAGAAGGAATTTAATAATCTCAGATTTTTCTGTAATTAATACATTTTTTTCCCTCAATTTCTGGGGATGAATTGAGTAATTATAGGACGCATTAAACTAGGTAATCAAAAGTGACCGTAAAGACATTTATAATGTTACAAAAGCTTTTCTTTTATTTCAGATTAATCTACTTTGATTCTTCTGTTCATCAAAGAGTCCTGACTTGAAACACACATTAATAATCCTGTCGAACTGTTTCTTGGGCAGTAAATCACATCCGCATATTAATCCCCGAGGAAGGGTTGGCGTGTTCTGGCGTGTCCGATGTCGGACTTGTGTGACCAATAATCACGTTGAATAAATCGGACCGTGAAAGTGAGTGCGGATCGAACCGTCCAGACGGCAGAGGATCCTGTTGGTCTAATTCTCCATGTGGAGTGTGTTATTGGTATGGTCTGATGAGAGTGGGCTGTGATTGGATGATGACTGGTGTCGTGTGTGTGTGTGTGTGTGTGTGTTATCGGTCAGTGTGTATTTAATCGGGATAAGGAGGTCCCGTACGGGACAGATAAACTAGTGCCAGAACACGGGACGCCCCGGCTGATGCAGGACCGTTGGCAAACCCAGGATATAATCACATGGCTATTACAATGTAAACATGGTTAATGAGGACTGTGCGTGTGTGTGTGTGTGTGTGTACGTCAGGGTGTGTGTGACGGACGTGTCTTTGTTTGTACAAGGGGAAGCAGGTTTTTCCAGTGTGCGTCGAGTGACGGATCTGAAAGCACAGCTCATTAGGGGAGTAACGAGACCCTCGTGTCACGATTCGATACATATCACGATACTGAACACACGATACGATATTATTGCGATACTCCAAGACATCTGGTAGAAGTTAACAAAAAATTTACTGTTGATTAAAATGCTAACTTTTATATTACATTATAAGTTTTTTCAGGTGTATTCACTACATACTATACACTACATACTATACACTATACAGGGAACGAGTGGACGAGTGAGCGGTTTGGGACACAGCTCCAGACTCACTCTCTGATGTTGTGCAACACACTCGTTATATTCAGCGTTGTCCGACTGCAGTGAGCGCACTTGTTTTATATTTTTATTTTTATATTTATATTTATAATATACATGTTCTGTGAGATTTGACCAGAAAAGGTTTGAGAACTGTTAGTGTAGGACACTATGAACTGTTGTTTTGTGTGGTTTCGGTTTGCTCTGTCAGATGTTGACAGTGTCTTCTTCTGCCGGAGATCATGTTTGTCCCGGATCTCGTTCCCGACACACACACCGCATTACTGCAGGGGTTTCACACACACTCGTTGCTCTTCATCCGTCGAGTCGTGTGCAGATCGCAGCGGTCCCACTCGCTCACGCCACTGAACTACAGGAACAACAGTGAACAGCTGTATGTTTATTAAATATCATTAACACAGATTAATAAATGCTGGACAGATGTATTGCTCATGGATAGTTAATGCATAAACTAATGGGCCTTTATTGTAAAGTGTTCATGTTTTTGTACACACACACACACACACACACACACACCTGTATTTCATTTGTTTGTGTCTCTTTGTAAAGCTTGGAAGAGATTGAAAGAGAACAATAAGTGGAGATCATATTTCTCAGGGACTGGATCTGCTCGGCTTCATCTTACACGCGTGACGTCCTCAACATTACACACGTTTGTGTTCAATATGTCCTTGAATATTATCAGCTACTGAATTAATGCTTCAAAAGCAAATCTTATTTTTATTGAAGTGTTTATTATAAATGATGTATTGGTGCACATCATTATTGTTTCAATAATCTTGAATCAGAATCAGTTCCTCTTGCAGTATCGGTTCTCTTCTCTGAAGATGTGGGCGGGGCTTTAACCTGTCACTCACATGAAATAGCAAACCACTCCCCACAGACACAATCAAGCCCCGCCCACGTTTGGCCCTGTTTCAGAAGCGTTTCTCTTGATATACGACACACTAGAGGAGAGAAGGCCAGCATGAAACTTCCCCTTCACGCCGAGCTGAAGATTACTGGTTTAGATCTGAAGTAAAAATTCTCCCTTCTCCTGATTGGCCGACCGCTGTTGCCCACGGCGACCTGACCACTGTTGCCCACGGCGACGCTGATGACTGTAACTGTATGTAATGAACCAGTGAAGAATCTCCTGCTGAACAGGTCGATTCATAATGCGAATGAAAGGTCGCGAGGTTGTGAAGGAGGTGAAGAAGACGGATCGCCATGGAGACGGAGAGTGTGTGTGTGTGTGTGTGTAATCTGTGCCTCAGTTCTGTTTATGTTTACTCAATCATATGTTGTACCTAAAGGTGAGCTAAACCTCACAAAACCTGCTTTTGAAGATCTCCTCATCTGGAAAAACAATATAAAAATCATACATATTCTGAGTTGTTGTGTTTGCATTATGCTTAAATATTGTATTCGTTTGATGTTTTGATGTGAATGCTTTAACAGCGTTCTGTATCGGCCCCTCGAGGGATTCTGTATGAACTTTAGAAACTTTCCTGAACCTTTAAGCCGGTTTTAACTGCTTTATGACTCAATCACAACACACTCTTTGTGTCTGCCTTTTGTAGGAATGCGTGGCGGCTAAATCAGATTAGCATAGCTGCTAGCATTAGCTCACATGTCATAATCTGAAACGGACGGAAATGAGCCAGATGCCTTTGAAAACTGCCTGATGACGCTGTGTTTAACTGAGTTAGTGTCTGTTGATGAACACGTGCTGTTCGTGTTCAGACAGGACGCTTCATTGTGACTGTCAATCAAACTCCGGCTCCGCCCAGCAGGTTCAGTGGGGTTCATGCCAATAAAGGATCTTTATGAGTAGAAATATCTTAAATGATTGCATAACACTATATTGCCAAACGTTTTGGGACGCCTCTGCACATGATAATCCCATTCCTGATCCGTAGGGTTTGGTACGTGTCATGATAGTTCGAACCGTTGACTGTGGACTCGGATGATCCCGGTTCAGCTCCTGAGAGCGACCCAATCCTTCAGAAACGTTTGTAGACGCGTCAGCATGGCTAGTGCTTGATTTATAGGACACATGTGGCCATGGAAGGGACTGGAACGCCTGAACTCACTCATTTGGACGCGTGTCCCAATACTTTAGTCAATATAGTGTATACTAGCTAATGATAAACCGAATAATCTCGTGGGTTGTATATCACACTGATGTAGAAATCGTCATGGGTGTAAACTGTGTGTGTGTGTGTGTTTCAGATGGCACCAGGCCGTTCATTCACCGCTGTCGATCGCCCAACATGGTGGACTTCAGCTGCTGGTGGCGCCCCGTCGAGGAGCAGGACAACATCACCCACACGCTGCAGTACAGCACGGGGTAAGGGTCCCGTCAGATGGCGGTTTATGGAGAGTGTCATCATGAGTCATGTGTGGTGATGTGGTCATGTGATCTCCGCAGCGGCGACGCCCCTCGGGACTGTCCCGACTACACCAGCAACGGCTCCAACAGCTGCTTCTTCGACAGCAAACACACGCAGATCTGGCAGATATACTGCATGACGGTGACGGCGCACACGACCTCGGGCCCGCGGACCTCGCCGAGACACTGTCTGGACGTGGCCGATATAGGTGGGGAACGTCACGTCCTCACACACACCACACGAGGAGTGTGTTATCCTGCACTACACTCTTACAGTCTCGTTATTGGCATTTACCCTTCAGCAACATCCAGTAAATCTTTCCATTGCACAAAAGGTTCTTAAGATTATTATAATGTTCTTCACTCTAAGAGATTTTTTTATTAACTCTTTCCCCATTTTCACAAAACCAGAATATTTTGCCGTATAAATATCTGAACGTGCAATATATCAAAAGAAAGAAGCTTTTATTCCAGCTTCATTCATTATATTTGATCAACACTGTGTGTAAGTTTCATCAAAAGCGGACAAAATGGTGTGTTTGTCAAAGTCTTCGCTTCTGAATGATGATGGAGTAGATCGAGTCGTTTTCAGCATTTTATTCAGTAACGTTTTGATTTGTGCGCTGATTAAACTGGTGATTTATCGCGTCATAATTTACAATGCTTCGATCGCTCGTTTCTGCTTCTCCTCCTGTGTTTTAATCTGGAGATTTTGTACTCTTTCAGAAGATGTGCATTAGCGCCCCCTACTGGTTAACAGTGGTCACTGTAGCGACCCGGATTCGAATCCACTGTGAGACACTTAACCCCTAGCTGCTCCAGAGGCGTGCGACCTCTGACACAAGTCGCTTTGGATAAAAGCGTCAGCTAAATGAATAAATGTAAATGAAACACGGATCGCTGGATATTCAGTCAATGGCAGGGAAAGAGTTAAGAACTGTTTATGGAAGGATCTTGGGAAACCAAAAGCCTCTTTTGAAACCTTTATTTTGAAAGGTCGATTTGCAGCCAGAGTTTCTCCGCTTTATTCCCCAGTAGAGTCGTTTCACAGCAGTAAAGAGGTGGATAGGAGAACAGGTTTCTCCGGAGCTCATGTTTCTGTGTGTTTGCGTGTGCAGTGCAGGTCGACCCGCCCTTTAACCTGTCCTACATCATGCTGAACGAGAGCCACTGCGAGTCCTGCCGCTCCGTCACGCTGTCCTGGATGTTCCCCATCGCGTATCTGGTGCGTGAGGGATGGATTACTCTGGTCTACGAGCTGCGCTACAGAAACCTCGCTCAGCCCGACACATGGAAGGTACGACCTCCGCTTTAGGACTGGGAACACTGTACAATAGTTATGCACATAAATCAACATAATCCTCATCAATTAGGCATCAATCGAAAGCTTAAACTCTAGAAATCTGTCCATTGGACATTGTGTTGCCATGGAATCGGGACTTTAAACCCT